TGGGGTGAAGTTGAGCTGTTCGCGGAGGGTATCAGCCGCAATCTTGTACCTGTCATCTCCCGTCTTGGTCCAGAGCCAAAGGAGGTTTAGGCCAATGCGGATGTCATCGAGCGAGACGGTTGACCCGGGGTAGTTGATCAGTCCGCCGGAGGAGTCGACGACGGCATCGACCTGCGACTTGATATAGGTGAAGTAGCGTTCGTCCTTGGTCTTGTTATAGGCGAACTCCATACCGGTGTAGAGGACGCCATTGGCGTAGTTGCGGGACAGGGAGACGTTCTTGGTCATGAAGGACGAAGCCATCCATTCCGTGTAGTTGGCCGCCTGAGAGAGGCCGCTCAGGGCCGCTACAAGCAGTGCGGATTTGCTGATTGAAATCATTTTCGTGTGATACTATCTTAGTCTACCACATATACAATCCTGCAGGACCGCAGGACGATGGATCACAGTCCTCTCGCTCTTATACCATGTTCCAAGAACTTCCAAGGCATCCTAAGGATCGTTTACATTATCTCGGGCCGGAGACAGGAGAGCCAAGACCCCTACGCAGACGGAGAAATGTCAAACGGAGAATTAGCTAGCCATCTTGGCATGGGGCATCCACCAGAGTGGTGGAGAAATATGAAGAATCTTCACGGTAGTCGTCCATCATAATATCTGATGGAGGTTGCGGGGTATGGGATTGGGGATGGTGCTGACATGTGGGAAAAAAATGAGGAACAAAAGAGTACTGACAAGAGTGGGATTCGAACCCACGCCATCATACGATGATGAGGAAACTCTGGGAGTTTGGTATTAAGGTTTACCTTAACCTCACGCCTTAGACCAACTCGGCCATCTTGCCTTGTTATGTTTGTAGGTCGATATTTTAATATAATGTCATCAATGTTGGTTGAAACCGTCTGGAGTAAGATATTGCTTCTGCACCAGTATACAGAGAATACCAAGAAATCTGTATACCAAGAAAGAACCTTACCTTAGACTTAGATTCAGTGGCATATCCCACAGACAAGGATATATCACTCGCTACTAGTAATGGCGGTGTGCTAATAGTAAAAGAACCATCAGCCACCTCGTAAACAAACAATGAATAGCCAGTCACAACATACATTTATCGCTGGGATCAGGCCGTCAGCAAACAGGCAGCCATATTCCAGAACACATAACTGCACCATCGTTCATCTTCTATCAATCCGCCTCATCAAATGTAGAAACCACAGACAACAGAAGACAGACAATAGCAAAATGACAAAACCACTTAATGAAGCAACCCCCTCCTCCCCCACCATCACCCGCTCCACCACCACCAAAACAACCTTCACCAATCTCACCCCCGCAGACTCCATCTTCCGCTCCACACTGGAAAACACCTCCATCACCAGGACACCCGAGGCTAGCGCCAGCATCAGCATCAAACGCAGCAAGCTCCACGCCTGCACCGTAACCAACTCCTCCACTCGCCGCTCCACCCTCACCAACACAACCCTCCTCAACGTCCCCGCAGCCCGCTCACTCGACGCAACCAACTCCTCGCTCTCGAATGTCCGCCGTCTGCGACGGAGCGAGATCCGCGCCAGCACGGTAAGCGATAGCGCCGTCCGGCGGAGCACGGTGCTGCACTCGACTGTGACGCACTCTCTTCTCCGGCGGAGCAAGCTGGACCGGGTGGCTTTGTTCCGGAGCCGGGTGAAGAGGGCGGTGCTGACGGACTGCGAGGTGAGTGAGTGTGTGGTTATCGGGACGGAGTTTAGGGGGATGAGGATGCGGTTTGGGGTGTGGAATAGTGGGCGGTTGGTGGGGAGGGTTGGGGAGGGGGAGGTGGTCTTTGAGGAGATGGATGTAAGTGATTTCTTTTATCTTTGGTCTGGGGTTGAGTGATGCTGATATGCTGATACACGAATAGAAGGGTAAGAAGGGCAAGGCTCTTGTCCCAGATGCTAAGGTTGAGAGGCTTGATTACAAGGTTCTACAGGAGGAGAGCGAGTCGGAGGAGGACGATAAGTCCAGTGCGAGTGATGAGGAGGGGGAGCTACCGCCGCCGTATGCGCCTTGATTTGTTGGCTATCGGTCATTCGTGATTGATATACATGATGTATGTACGTTATCCAGCAACAACATACTGCTTGCCCGTCTTCAACTTGCTCAGAATCTCATTGCTCAGCTTCAGCGTATCTGCCACGATCTGTCGCGGCGTAGATGCAATCCATTGCCCTAGTGCGATGTCTGTATCCTGTTAGCTCGACTCTAGAGACAGGATGGAAAGGGGAAGCTACGCACCGGTGAACTTGTCTGCCTGCAACACCTCAAGGAACAGCAGGTCCTCGTCCCCGGTATTCTCGATATAGTGACTGTTTGACTTGGGAAAGTATCCCACATCCCCGGCGCGGTAGTCGAAGGTCGTCGCCGTACTGGGTGCCGAGAACAGCGTTGCGCGGCCCTGGCCGCGGATGAAAAAGGTCCACTCGTCGCTGCTCGGATGCCAGTGGATCCCGCGCATCCCGCCCGGCTTGACGGTCACAACGGCCGCAGAAAAGTTACTGGCGATGGGGAAGGTGACGGGATCCACGATCTTGACTGATCCGCCGGCGACTTCGTGGGCGGGCTGCTCGGAGAAGTGGTACGAGTAGCTCTGCGTTCTGGGAACAGGGCCGGCTGCCGTCGAGACGTTTTGGGCCTCGATGTCCTTGGGGGCAGGGGTGCCGGGGAAGATGTACAGTTCGTCATCGGGGATGTTTTCGAATGCCGTGATCGGGACACCCAGGCCTTTGGCTAGGACTTCTTTCGGGTTGTGTGCAAAGACTTCTGAGGCGAGGAACGTATTATCCTCGGAGAAGGATCCGTCGTCGAAGACGAGCAGGAATTCAACGCCTGTGTCGAGGGCTTGGACGGAGTGAGGAACGCCCCTAGCCGGTCAGTATCTGTTCATGACAGTGTGACGAGGTGACATACGGAGGGAAAAACCAGACATCACCTTCGCTCACGTCGTCGATGAACGTTTCCCCATTCTCGTTGACGGCCTGACGGTCAGCAACATCGATGAAAAGACGGGTCCACATACCTGAATACGACAGGATCCATTGAGGATCAACGACCACTCCGCCGCGACATGCCAATGCAGCTCCCGATACGCACCGGGCTCAAGCCTCATGTCAACTCCAGCCATGGCCGTTGCGTCTGGCATGACGTTGGTATTCTCCTGTCGGGCCCATCCCGCCCCATCGTGGCCGAGTCTACTCATAAGCAACCTCCTTCAAGCTGAGAGGGCAGACCTACCTGTTGTGACTGAGTCCTATGACAAGTTAGCATGGTCCACCATACCGTCATCAGGTAAAGACATACCCATCGGCCACTGCGCATTGATCGTCTGACCATGATCCGTCCCAGGAGGAGCCAGCTTATCACTATTGATCTGATCATAGTAAGAATTCCCTGCGCCGTCAGCCGACCCACTTCGTCAGAACAAACCGCACGACGACAACATACTCGGTCCCGGGTCCGTCCCTCCCAAATCTCCCCGGATAGGCTGGGGATTGTCCACGCCCTCAAAGTCAAGATACACCCCGTTATTGGCATCGTCCTTTTGCCCAGTCACCAGGGTATACTTGACCTCGGTCGACTGCTCGGTGATGGTATTGGAGGAGGAATAACCCAGCAGATCCTCCGAGCCTCTCAGCGGAGGATTGGAAGGCTGGGCCGTGGGGGCTCCATTGGCCCAGGAGAGAACAAGAAGGAAAGCTTGCAGAATGTGGATCGACTTCATTGTGGACTCTCTGGTTTGGTTCGAAGTCGAACCCATTGCGTGAAGTGACTCCTTTATATACCACGTTCAGTGAGGAGAAGAACAGGGTCTGTACCCCTCACCGGAGTAGACAGACGGATGCTCCCTGTCCAGTTGAGTCCAATCCAGGCATTGTCGACAGGCACCGGTACCCCTCATGAGCGAAGATCCTCGGGGATGGTAGACAAGCAGAGGCCAGTCTCGTGGGGGGAAGGTGATGTTGCAGGCCAATGGGGCGCTTGAGGGGTTAGATAGCCTGAAGAATCAAGGATGTGATAGTGACATCAGTGGGACTATTCCTCATACTGGGGTATGATAGAACCATCAGTCGATACCTGCAGTACCAGTCAGTACCTTATCCAGTTAGATCCCAGCAGTATACCATATACTCAACACGAACACACATATCACCAAAGATACCATAAACCAACACTGACAATAAGCACAAATACTATCCCATCTCATTCCATATCATACAACTCAAATCAAGCAAACCAAGCCAGCCAAGACCCAAGCCAAACCGACGCATCGCATCCCATGCTAACCCTAACTCAGTCAGGAAACCTCCTCCGATACCGATATCCATATAACCCGGATAAAACCCGCTCGCCACCTGCACTGCACTGCACTGCGGCCTGTACTTACCCAGAACGTCACCGCATCCTTACTATACTACCCATACTATAGTACTGCATACTATAGCAGTAATGCATATCCCCCGCACGGCGAGTCATACCCGCGACCAAGAATAGGTACACCCCTGCAGAATCCCCACTTCGCTTCGCGGTGCATCATTTCCGGTTTCCGCTAGCCGACGTTGTCAGTAGCTGGATGGCTCGGCTTGAGGATGGAGACGGCCGTTGGGTATGATCTCCTTTCTAAGATTGAAATGGGTGCGGTGTCCTACCCCGCACGAGGGCATTGTCCTACTGTACAGTGTACGCGCTGAGGGTAATCAAGATGGGTCAATGCTGGATATATTGGGTGTACGTATGCTTTGATCCTTGTTGAGGGATGATAGGTTAGTCTGGTATGGGGTCATGCGCTAAGCGGATGCATTAACCAAGTTCCGTGTGTTGCTCGGTACTGATGGGAAGGGGTGACTAGGCAGAGCATAGCTATAGTCTATGAATTAGATATGCTGTATATATGCAATGTCTATGAACATCAAGTTAGAGCAATCATATCTCATCGCCCGTCAGTCATTAATATAACCGCAGTGTCAACAACACCCCTTTGGAACCAGACAGCATTTCCGCGCCTCCTCCGGCATGGTCATGTATATGACATCTCGCACCTCCTTACCCACCTGCTCCACTGCATCCATGGCCCACAGTACATCCAGATGCTCATACTCTTCAATCACCTTGGAATGCACCACCTGCACATGCGGCTCGCGTCCGCTCCGGAACCGCTGAAGGAGACGCCGCCCGTCGACCAGCGCATCAGACCCCGCAACCCACAGCGCAAACGGGGGCGTCTGCGGCCCGTACCAGGCGGTGTCGGTCCGCGAGCCCGCTTGGTCTCCGTTTCGTTGCAGACGGAGATCCTCCTCCATCTCGGCAAGGGTGTCTTCCATCGTGGCCAGGATGCACCGCTGCGTCGCGAAGCAGCCCCGACCCAACCACCACCGGATCGTCTCGCTGCTGACATACACCGGTGCGAATTGGAACATGCGATCGCGTAGTCCGCGATCCCAGCGGGCGTCGCTCCACCCGAACAGGTGCGCGAAAACATGATACCCCAACGCTCCGTAGATGCGAGGATGGAGGAACCGGTGGACGGTCATCATGATCGGGATGAACGCGTGGATGCCGAAGATAGTCCGGAACATACCAGGCGGTATGACTCGCATGAATCGAAAGTAGAGTCTCTCAATCAAAGGTCCGGCATATACGGCCGGCGCGAGGGCACAGAATACAGATATCTTTCCGCCAAGCTCCGGGCGGTGGTGTTTGGACAGCGCCACGAATGTCTGCGCGGTACCTTGCGAGTGGCACACAAGCCCCAGCTTCTCAAACCCGGTCTCAAACAGAACCCGCGAAATAAGCGCGGTCAAGTCCAGCACACCCATCTGCCGGATGTTCCACGTCCACATCCGCGGATCGCCAGTCGACAGCGTTGTATGCTCCGGCGTTATCCCGCAGCGATTATTGCCTAACCAGACATCGTACCCGGCTTTGCAAAGATAGAAAGCCAGACTGTCATCGTCATTCACGCAGAACGCACCAGCACTCTGCAACAGCCCATGGACCAGCAGAACAGGATACCGGCGGTTTGAACTGGAAGAATCCACCCTTCTCCGCCCAGTAAACACGTTAGGACCTCGGGGCCCTCTCTCCTCTTCAGACAAAGGCGTATACTCCTGCGGGTTATAAACATGCCACATCGTGATGATAAACCCGTCCTCCGTCTGGACTTTGAACGTCTCCACGTCGAGTCCCACCCGCCGCGCATAATACCCAACATCGCAAACAAGCAAGTCCCGCCCGCCCTCCGAGGGCGGACACTCATCCGGCGCCTCCTCGTCAACATCCCGCTTCGCCTGCCGCCGTTTCCACCTCCGAAGCTCCTCCTCTCGACTCAACTGCCGCTCGCGCTCCTCGGCGTAAAATTTCCGCCGCGAGTTCGGATCCTCACCGCTAATCCTCATCCGCAGATTATCCAGCTGCGTGCCAGCGAAACCCACAAGCGCACCAACCACAACAATCCCCAGAAACAAGAGCGACAGAACGAACGAGACACACCGCAGCGCCACGCAGCGCACCGTGAGCGCAAGCGAAGGCGGACTGTACGAGGGCAGCGGCGGGAACAGCGGATGCGCCGGAAGAGCGGTGTCGGGCTGGTACCGTTGCTGCGGCTGCGATTGCATCTGCGTGTTCCCTAGCAGTCCGTCCGCCACCACTGCGGTCACCGCTGATTCGACCTTTTCGTCTTCGCGACTGGTCCGCAGGTTCCTTAGTTCCATGTCGGGACTGGAGCGGAGGAGGTTGCCTGTTGCTTTGGGGGTAGGAGGTCGGACGTCGATGGGGTCACTGTGGAGGACGATCCTCGAGGACCGACTGTGTATTGTAACATCTTCAACTTCCTGAGTGGGTTCGAGGCTGGCGCGCCGTTCTGTGATGCGTGATGCCACCGACATGGTTTCAGGGGGTAATGGATGTAGTAAAGACTGGAAAAGGCCTCATTTTGCCATATTCGAGGTTAGGAATGGGAGAAGGGAAAAACTCGAGTGAACGAGTGGCCGCAGAAGAGGTGGCTGCGATCATTGACACGGGAATTGGTCATCTTGAATATATCGCGACGCGATGGCGCACGGACTCCCTGCTGATTCCGGTTTCAGAACAAGCTCAGGGCCTTTCACGTGAATTTTGGAGCCGGCGGGTCATTTCCTCCCTATCAGCCAATCATATTACGCCTCCCCAGCCATGCGCTCATAGTGCCTGACCCAGCCTGAGGCGTCCACGGAATGGTGCGCCTCAGGTGTCATGGAGGAAACTATATTAGGAATTCATGGATACGATGGCAAAATTCAAGAATGATCTAATTATCTATCATTCATCTAACATATCAGTCATCAAAAGTCCAGGTATCTCCATATGCGCCGTTATAACTGCCAATAAAACCAAATATGCTACCAAAGGGGAAAAACAGATTAAGCCTTCTCCAAATGCTCAAGCTTGTGCTTCTCTTGAGCATCAGCCTCCAGCTGAGAAAGACTGGCCTTCCTGTGTCCCTCGGCCACATCCCGCACATCGGTGAAGTGAACCGTGGGGACGAAACCAGCAGACTTCCAGGCCTTGGAGATCTTGCCATAAAGCTCATCGACTTGCTCGAGGGAGAGACCCTTGGTCTCGTAGATGCAGGTATACACAAAGATGAATGCGATGAAGCAGAAGCCACCCCAGATGAAGAATACCTTGGACTGCAGGTTGGCATTGCCAGCGCCGCTGTTGACCATGTAAGGAGTAGCGTAGGCGATGGCCCAGTTGAGCAGCCAGTTGGTGGCGGTTGTGATGGAGAGACACTTGGCACGGGCCTTGAGTGGGAACAGCTCACCAGTCACAACCCAAGCCACAGGTCCCCAGGAGCAGGCGAAGAAGAAAATGTAGATGCAGACGAAGGCAATCAGGACCTTGTTGGCCACATCGGACGAGGCTGCAGTGCCAACGATGGCGACGATGAGCTGGCTGACGCACATGCCAATAGCTCCAAACATCAACAGAGGACGACGACCCCACTTCTCGACCATGTAGAGACCGGGGAAGGTGGACATCACGTTGACAATGTTGGTGATAAGAGTAATGACAAAGGGGTTGCTGATGCCAGAGGCCTTGAAAAAGGTGGTTCCGTAGTAGACTAGAAAGATTAGCGAAATCCGAGTACTAAAAGAGACGAGTACATACAGATGAAGTTGACACCGGCCAACTGCTGCAGAGCCTGGATACCACAACCGGTAGCCAGCCGCTTGCCGATGGAGCCGCGAAGGATCTCGAGGTAGCTCGCGGTACCCATGCTGAGCTCGTATTCATGGTTGGCCTGGATCTCGGACAATTCCTCGATGATGGCTGGATCGTTGACATCCATGCGGCGAAGACGGGCAAGAGCCCTGGCGGCGGCCTCGTGCTTATCCTTCTTGATCAGGAAACGCGGAGTTTCTGGAAGAACCAGCATACCAGTCACCAGGATGATAGCCCAGGAAAACTGGACGGCAACTGGAATCCGGTAGCAGCCAGTATCCATACGATCCTTGGTGGCGTTGTTCACAATGGCAGCAATCAGCAAGCCAAGGGTGATGGCCAGCTGATAGGCCCCGACGATGGTACCACGAATCCATTTGGGAGCTGTCTCGGATTGATACAGGGGAACTGGTCCTGTCAGTACACGGCCACCAGGAGGGACAAAAGATGAGTAACATACTAGTCGCAGAAAGAAGACCGACACCCAGTCCGGCGAAGAATCTGCCGGCGACGAACAATGGAATTGAAGTGGCGGCGGTCTGAAGAATGACACCAACGCAGAAGACGACCGTGTTGATAATCATACCAATGCGTCGTCCAAAGTAATCCGCCACAGGCGCGGCGCCCAGAGCTCCGAAGAAAGTACCAGCAGACAACAGGGAGACGATCATCGACGATTGAGAGGATGTGACATCGGGCCAGTTGTCGTCCGGATTGATGTAGCCGGTGGAGAAAAGCTCGCGCCAGTACTTCATGGCAAGGATGCCGCTGATGGTGCCGGTATCATAGCTATATACAGTGCTTTGATCAGCTGCCGTGTCAAAGTGATAACGAGGCCGAGTTGGAGACCTACCCGAACAGAATCCCACCAAACGCAACGAACAAACCAATGATGATGGCAGGCGCCGCAGAGCCCACTGCATCATCGGGCTTTCTGATCATGAAGCCCATGATGAAAGTCGAGTCTAGTAATGTGCAAAGGCAAAGGACAAAGATAGGACCAGGAACCCAAGAGTATTGGAGTCGTCACGGACAAACGAGTTCCTGAAACAATGACACAATGGCAGTCGAGGATGGAATGGAAGAGAACGAAGAGGTCAAGGAATGGACGATCACCCCGGGGTATGCGAGAGATTTTATACTCCCCGAACCGGCTTCCTGAGAGTCAACGTGAGTGAAAAGGAGAACCTGGGGTCCCTCGGCCTGGGGATAACCCCGCCATATCCACAGAGGCAAAGCACGAATGCTGGTTGGCCGCAATCAGCTTCCAGGCGCAGTCATTTCAAAACAACGGCCATGCCATGGGACATCTGGAGTCTGGAGTCCGGAGTTTCTCTGGAGGAAAACGGGGACTCGACGGAGGTCCAGCGTATGGGATGCCGAAACGGTCTGCAGCCCGTGGGGACTGGAGGACACACACGAGGCCGTTTGCATTCGGAATGGGGAAGTAATCCGAGGGGGTGAGGCTTCATTGGCCGGCGGCCACAAGGTCAGACCGCATCTGAGACAGAAAAGCAAATAGTCGGTGCCGTAGACGAATTCCAGAAACCCACTCGGTTCGGGAACACCGAATGGTTCATTGGTTGTTGGGGTTGATCAGTTACGTCGATGGCGGCTTAGACTTTTCCTCGTTTTAATTAGGGGCCCCTGAAGGCCTGGATGACGGGGTGTTTCCCAACTTCCTGCCGGTGTACACATTGAGACCGGCATTATGATCTTTGGAAAGAATTAAGCGTCAAAATGAGACCGGGGCTGTCTGTCTGACTGTCTGCATTCTGCTGTTTGGTTAGTGGGCAAGAATAAGCGAGGCAAAACCGAATGCGGGACCTGGGGAGGTGTTTGCAAACTGAGGTGAAGCACAAGGCCGGAGTCGGGAAGAAAACCTGGAGATGCCGGAATCGGGCATGATTGTCGGCCCTCTCGTGCCATTTCGGGCCACCAGCACGATCCCGGCCACTTTTCGGCCAAAACATCCCAATTTTACAGTTGTACGTAATAATAATAGAACCCCAAAATAACTTGCCAAGTGAAAATTATTCCAGTGGCTTGGCTTGACTACGGAGAATCAAGTCTTGTTTGGTATCTAGTCTACGGAGTAGTCTACTTACTAGCTGAGAGAATATTCTCGCAGCCGACAGTTGATTCGAATCTGGGGCCTCGAGGCAATATCCCCCCTTGCTTCTGGCCGCTGGCACGCTTACAGACTTACAGACGGAAGGGGGCTAAAGTGAACTCTGCTCATACACTTAGATAACAATAATTCAACCTAATAACAGACACAATCTGGACCGATCTGGATCCGTCTGAAACTGGGTGAATATGAGGAAGTAGAAACAAATAGAACCTGAACCATGGATCTAACTTCTGTCTTTGCCTCCGCCACTGGGATTATGGATTCGTTTTTATCAGGATACAGCATGGATTCTTCAAGTCAACAATCTAACAGACTAAGGTACCAAAGGTATGCTGGCTCAGTCGCTTTAACAATAATAGCCCTTAGACTAATAATATGTCTCTGATAAATCACTCACCCACAGGACGTAGACTGACTACTGCAGGCTCCCCACTTGGGGTGTAACCCTGCAAAGCAAGGGATATCACATCGTTTGTATTCCTCTCAATTGATGCCAATCGATACATAGGTAGTCAGTCCCTGTTCCTGTCCCCTCTCTTCCTCGTGGTGTCAAGTTTTCTTCCCATGACAAGTAGTCTAATATTCCCTACCCGTAGATTGGAAACTTCCAGCCACAAAACAAGACTTTCAAGAATCAGGATCATCAACGCCAAGCACTATTGAGTGATTTCTTGCCGCCACCCTGAACCTTGCTGATCATTAATTGCCACTGAAATTAAAGTGCTGACCCGAGTTCCAAGTGTCTAGCCAGTAACCCGACCCAAAGAAAAATATGTTAAACTGATGTGGCAGCTTTTGTTGACTTCTATGTACACTCAAATGCTATTGCGTACGGTTGTCCTCTAGCCAGGATGTTTGTGGTTTATATGAATTTATTACCTTCTGTCAATGTCATTATACCATGACTGAACAAACTACTTCTACTTTATTAAGGTAGCTTGGTTGACCCGACCCGACCAAAATCACCATCGCCAGATCAAAAAGAAATACCATGCCAACACGACGCCGGCCACAAGCTGCACCGAACCAATTAGCTCCCTTCTGATCCTGGCAAGAGTTGAACGGCCGGCCCCGTGTCTCCGCCGATATTCATCGCTCGGCGGTCTCCACTTGGAGTTCTGCTCGGCCTCGTACTCTGCTAGTCCTGGGTAAGCATCATGGTAGGGCTTGGGCCGGGGTGGTGCATTCACAGTGCGGCTGGCCAGACCGCGCGGTGACGGAAGTGTAGAGCTGGACGTACTGGAGGATGGGGGAACGGAGGTGATCGATGGCGAAGAGGTGTGCAAGTCGTGTTCGGAGAGAGGTAGGACAGAATCGGGTGAGTTCGGCCTGGGGAAGTACAGCACTAAAACAATTGCTCGGATGAAGAGGATGGTAAACGTAAATCCAAAAAGAAGACCGTAGTGGATGAAAATGCCCAGCTGATCCGGGAGAAGGCAAAGATGGTTCTGGATCGTAGACGAAGACCGCTCACTCGGCTTCCCCGTTGTCAGATCAATAGGATTCCAGAGACTGGTGAGTAAAAAGCCAGGGTAACGGACGCCCATTGCCCAGCTGAGACTCTTCACAGTGATTTCCTTGGGTGAGCCACTGAACTCGCGATGGGAAAGCTCGCAGTAGTCATGGTCATCGCCAGAGTAGACCTGCACCAGATTGGACCCAATCTTGGAAACAAGATCTTTTGAGATGGTTTGTGTCAAAACATTCTGATACTGATAGCCTCCACCAAGCCTCAACGAGTTCGGTTCGTCCTCTTCGAGCCCCCCATTGGAGGAGGGAGGATAGCGTTCTCTAAAAGGTCCACATGGTGTAGCCGGCCTGCGGTACAACGGCACATGGGTCAAGAGAATGGTTGGAAGACCAAGAGCTTCCCACTGCGGTTCCTTGGCGACCGTATTCTCCAACACCTCCACGGCGTCGTGCTTGAAGAGACGGCCTTTGCTCCCCTGGGTCTCGTTGCGCAACATAAGCAGTTCTTCAGTCTCGGCCTTGGCCATATGCCTCGGCACTTCATCGAGGAAGTCCTTCGCCTCCCTCCAGATACGCTCATTAGGCTGCTCTCCATCCCCCGCTCCAGTACCGGAGCTGCCTGTCTGCGGATCGGGCTGATCCATCGCGCTCAATGAAACCGTATCAATGGATACGAACGTGTGGTTCCCAATCACGTCCACACGATTCCCTTGGCCAAAGAATGACTGGAACCGTTCACGGACAGGCACCTGGACCCCCGACCCGAAGCCCAAGTCATGATTGCCCGGTAGACTGGCAATCATCCGTCGACCTCGAGGCTCCGTAGAATGTCCGTCACCTTCATTAAACTGATCAGAAAAGATCTTGACGAATCGATGGTATTCTTGCTTCCAGAAGGAATCCTTGTATTGCTGATATCGCTTCTCAGGGCTCGTCGTTGTCGATGTTCCCCACTCCCTCCCTCCGTCGAATAGGTCACCAAGGAATACGACCGAGTCGGGGCCTAGTTTTCTTTGGATAGATGTAAAAGAGCGACGGAGATACTGGTCAGTGTACTTGACCGTCAACGTCGAAAGCGGCCATGGCCGACCAGGGTATGTATGGGGATCGACAAGTTGAGGGTCGGCTATAAAGACAACATGATGCGGTGTGGCATCCCGGGGCTACAAAAAGTTAGCACTCCATCGATATAGCGATATGCCCAGATCACTACTAACCCACTTCTCCCACTTGTCCCAGACACACTTCTCCAGACTCTCCTGGAAAACAGTCCGTTCTCCCCACCATAGCGTCAAAACCCACAAGAGTATGAAGGCGTTCGCCACACTAAACACACGCCTCACGAATCGCCAGCAGATCTTTTGAAGTCCAGCTCCATGGTAAATATCTTTCGCCTCGCTGAGCGCAGCAGGCATTCTTCGTTCGCGTAGTTCCGTAAGCCATGTTCTGGCCCGCAACGGTAGCGCCTGGGTTAGACGTTCGTAAAGATTGGTAGGCTCGGCAAAGCGATCCCTGCGGGACGATCGATACGCGTGGGCACTGTCACTGCGTGGATAGGAGTAGCTCATCGTTGTGTTGTTGAGTCGAGGAGATAAGCAGGGGGCTTAGTGTGTGGGCCGCATTGCTAGAAACTCGGTGACACAGAAGGTTTTGGCGATTCAAACGAATAAGGGTATCATGCTGGGGAAATGGAAAGTAAAGGAGTGTAGCTGATGAGTAGGACGAAACCTCAGAAATATACAAGTAGGCTGTGGTTGGCAACGTTTAAGCCATCGTTGTCGTTGGCGAAGGAGATCTCAACGTGACAACACGGAGTACCTAAGAGCAAAAAGCTACGGCCGCCAAGGCCATTGCCATTCTTGGTTAGTAGGTGAGCAGTGCCGCTGAGGTCGCGCGAACTGGGGTGGGTCAGGTGCATGAATAAGCATGATGGGGTTGAGTGGTGACAAGGCAGGGTGGTCTAAGTGATAACAATCATTGAATGGGACCCAGAGCTAAGACAGTTCTTTATATGTGTCATAATATGTACCGATAATCCTTTTAGCTGAGATACATATTCATAGACCAGACCTAAAAGAGCGATCATATCTTTTCATGTTAGAAAGCAGAGTTGCCGTCCTTGATGGTGCGACAACCTTCGGCCGCCAGCCTTTAGCAAGAACCAACCATAAGGTTTCCCTGCTCCGCTAATTGAGGAGAATGGCGATAAACAGAGTAGAGAACTGGAATCAAGACTGAATTGAGCTTGTGAACGTCTAAATCATAAATCAAGATTTCGGCAATCTTTCGGGTCGGCATAGAAACTCCCACCTAACCTCTCAATTGCCTGACATCGTTCCTCCATATTAAGGGCATTCTTGATCCCACCTAGGCCTCTGCTGCTTGCTTCTGCATATGTTGTTTTGAGAACCCAGACGCCTCCAGTAGATGGCCATCCTGCGAAGAGAACCTGCTTATGTGGCCTGGAATGCTGCAGGGCCGACAATATAAAAGCTTCTTCGCTTTCAAACCAGGGTGCACCTAATTTGCGCATGTTGGCACAATGCGCGTCCTCTTCGGCTGGGTCCTGAGACCGAATTGTGCTATTGAACCGATCGAGCTGCAGGAAGCCAAGTTCAACACCATCGTAGCTCTGGAGTACGTATAGGCCGCCTTTACTCGGCCATCCATACACTGAAGTTCCTGGCCCAGCACCAAATGACGTTCGACCTATCTGGGACTGTGGGGGACAGTTCTCATAAAATGAATCATCTAACTGCGATGTCATAGTTGTTGAGGGACTTTGTTCTAGGATAAGGTAATTTATATATATATAGTTACCTACTTAGGATTGCTGCCAAGACCAACTTTATATTCTGCCCTGTTGCCTTGCTCTGCTCCTGTTCATTGGTCTGTTCTGTGACTACCTTCAGCAACCACACCCCATCAAAACTCCCTAACTGCCTACTTATTCTCTCTATCTCTTACCTACATCGGGGGTCAAAAGTATCCGGACACTCCGCATTTCCGCAACGCGTCAAAAAATCAACATTCTTTTCAACTACTAACCATTCCATTAAAATGAGGTCGTTTGGCACCGAAATTAGTGGAAATAGAAGGCCTAAAGCTGAACTATCATCTGAATCACACACAGCTATTTTATACAGCCTAGAGAACCAAGGGATCACCTATATAACTAGTAAACAAATTTAGCATTAGTTATAGTACTATTTATGCAACTAAGGAATACTTCTAACACCATAAAACCTTAAAATTAAGGCCTTAAATAGGTAGACCCCAAAAGCTTAGCCCCTCTGCTAAGCATTATATCTACTAGATGGTTCACCAGAGCCCCTCCATGAGCTAGAAGGCCTTAGTTATATACTCACCTAGGGGTGTCTCTAAGTTAACTATTTAATATATTTTAAGAAGATATTATCTTAAGAAGTAAAAGAGTAAGAAAAGGATCCCTTTAAAGTATAAAATTATTAAAGAATAGTATAAATTTATATATATATAGCTTAATTTCCCTCACTAGGAGGAAGTACTGTTTTCTAATAAATATTCTATCTAAAGAAAGCTAAATAATTCTACCTAATTTATCTTCTAATTCTTAAATAAAGTATACTAGCATGATCTAGTTAATCTAATAAACCATGGGAAGGATATTTCACAAATGATATAGAGGGTAATCTAGATTAGAGGCTATATAAACCTAGTAATTATAGAATGTGATGAATTAGCTCCTTAAGGTAGATATTCTACTAATTCTTACCTAAAATGCCTTGAAGATGGCCTCCTTCCAATCTACAAGCCTGGCACTATATTCTAGCAAGATAATGCCAAAATCAATGTCACAGGCTAGAAGCCTTGTAAATCTATGACCTAGATTTGGATGGTAAGAAATTGCTGAAAGGTTCTAACTAGGGCTGTGACAGCTGAACATAAAAAGGGGTATATAAATAGTTAATAAGATTATATAACTACTAGTGTCCTTAGTAGACATAAGTTTACTAGTGCCTAAAGCAGAATATAAGTATCTAATAAGCTTAAGTATTTAGTAGGCCATGCCTGCTATACTACCCCCCTTCTTATCTTAGGGCTAGTGCACTTCCTAAGCATTAAGTACTACTATATTAATAAAGTTAATAGCTAGCTCCTATATAGACTATTTATAACCTATCTATTTAATGAGGTACTCCTTCTACTAGCCTCTTCTAATCTATTTCTTATACTCTTATAAGATTTCTTTAACTAGGTACTTAGCTTTATTATTAACTAGTATAGCTAGCAGCTAGTAGTTACTATTTAACTAACTTAGGAATAGATTACCAGCAGCAGGACGTAGGAGGCTAATATAGAATATATTATAGATATTAGGAGGTATATCTAATTAGTATATATATAATTTAATAGCCTTAAGTACTATAAATTTTATATACTATGTATTAAGCTTCTAGCTTAGGTAGTCTATTTAGATATTCTATAAGTCTAACTAGATCTTTAATTTTATAGTATACTATAGGACTACTATATAGGAGTAGTTTAAATACTCTTCTTAGTATTACTAGGTAGTAGCTAGTTCTAATTAGGCTATCTCTATAGCCTCCCTTATCTTTATTATAATTACTTTAGCTCTATCTTTTAGTGAATAGACTATACTAGTAGTAGTAGCTTTATAATCTAGTTTCTCTATCTCTAGTAGTTTAATATTATATCTATAATCTAAGAAGAATAGGCTAACTCCTATACTTATAGTATCTCTACTATTAATAGTAAGTTAGGCTATTAATAGCAGTAACTTCTAGTTACTTTAAGTATAATTATAGAAGTTCTATAGGTAAGCCTCTAATATTATATTTATCTATTTAATCTAACTATCTATCTATAGATAGAATATTATTGTGAGAGCACCTATGGAATGCTCCCTATTGAATGGTAGATAATATGGTAGCAGCAATGCCTTCATAGTAGAACTAATCACTGAGGTGCAAGCATCTCACACCTCAGTAGTTAATAATATCTCTATAGGTCACATACCACACATATAATCCCTGCAGTTTAGCTATATATAGGTTCACTATATCTAATAACTATCTCCCCTCTTCATACACTATGTCTCTGCAGCAGGAGATGGTGTTATAGCATCTCCTAACCTATATAAATTATATCTCCTTATTAGTCCATTCAGAATGGTTTTATCATTATTGCTTAGCATTATTTATTAGTATAAGGTGGTAATATCATTATTAACTAATATATTACTTCCTTAAGCAATATTCATTGTGTGGTGGTTTAACCTTATTATTATAAATATTCTAAATAGCTTTATATAGTACTTACTTAGTAGTATAGGAGCTTCTCCTCTTTATAGATTTATAGATTCTCTTCTCCTTCTTCTCTTCTCTTATTAGTAGCATTAAATCTTTTATTATATAAGTACTTTATCTTATTCTTTCTTATTATATATTCCTATTTAGCTTCCTTAATCATCTTTATAATTATATTATCTATATTATCTCATTCTATTTTATTTTACCTTAGTTATTATAAGTAATTACAGTCACAGGTTCTCCTGTTATAGGCTATCATGATCTATTTATATTAGTGTGACTATATAGTTATTTAATTAAATATATATAGCTCTTAGCATGAAGATTACTTCTAATTATTACTTTATATCTTCTAATTCTATTGCTCTTATTTCTCTACATTTAGAGCAAGTTATATTTATTTTTATTATATAGATTATAGTATTTTATATTCTTTATCTCTATTTTACTAGTTCTCCTATAGTAGCTATAATAGATAATATATTTTCTTTATTTCCTCTTCTCTTTATTATATCTCTTTATTTTATATTATATATTTAATGCTCCTTATAGCATCTTTTTATTATTTCTATTAGTTTAGAGCTTTTCTAGATATATTTTTCTTTATTTCCTTCCTATATTATTAGCTATAGCCTTATTAGCTTATAAACACCTTAATTCCCTTACTATGTTTACTAGAATTTAGATAATTACTAACTCTATATATAGAAAATACCTTATACTTATGCTTTCTATTATACCTCCTAGGGTTATACCCCCTCTACTTATATTACTACTACTACTRCTAATACTACTACTCCTACTTATAGTTATCAGGGCTATCCTACTAGTTATGGATATGCTGCCCCTTATACTAGTTATAGGGGTAGTATATCTTATAGCTAGTAGGGTAGTACCCTTACTATTATTATACTATCTCCTCCTCCTCCTCTAATATTAGGTCCTAGCTACTACTACTACTATTATTTATAGTCACCTATATACTATATAATAGGTGTACTTCCTACTTACTTAGATTACTCTCTAAGTAGTGGGAAGTGCACCTATTATATAGGGCTATACTAGTTATACTAGTTAGTATATTATTCTCTTAGTTCTTTTACTCTATATATCTTACTTACTCTACTCTTTTAAAGTTTCCTTATATAACTCTACTGCTAGCTTACTATATTATAATACTCTCTAGTGCCACTAGCTATACCCCTATTATAAGTAAGGCTAATACTTTAGCAGCTATTATTAGTATAGCCTAGGCCTTTAAGGTCTAGGTCTATACTAGTAGTAGTCTACTCCCCTATAGTATACCCCTAGTATCTATTCCTGCTAGGCCCCTATCTCTAACCCTATCTTTTAAGATAGTATATAGCTCCCTAGCTCCTATCCCTAATAGGGTTTTTACTCCTACCCTAGCTCCTACTAATTTTAATACTCCTGCCCTAGCTCTAGCTAGTCCTAATACTACTGCTATAGCTCTAGCTACTTAGCTTAGTATACCTTTTAGCACTATTATAGCTTTTATCTATTTATTTTATAGGTAAGTCTACATCCTTCCTGCTTTACTTATTCTAGCTAACTATATAGTAGGGTTTGAGGCTGCTCCCCCTTTAGGGGTTAAAGTATTATTATTTTTATTTTTCTTTAGGTGCTATATATATAGCCTTTAAGCCTAATATAATATATTCTCCCTATTAATTATATCTTTTCTCTTATAGATTTTATAAACTACTTATAGGCTTTAGTATCTTTAATATACTTATAGGGTTCCTATATATTATGCTTATCTTCCCATCCGCACTATTAGACTAGGTATTAATCTTTATTATATATTTTTTAGTATTTAAGAATAGCAGCTATCTCCTATTCTTTACTACCTTTAATAATTATAGGCTCTAGGTAAGGTGCTTACTTAGCATCTCCCTTATATAATTTAAGTAAAGAGATATAGAATATATTATATATTCTTTCCTATAAGTCTAATAAGTATAGTCTATATACTTATCTTCCTTATTTCTTAATAATTTTAAATAGCCTAAGTATTCTGCTTACTAGCTTCTAGTTTAGCCTAGGGATGGTGATGTTCTTTGCTTATAGCATTATATAGTCTTTAATATTTAGTAATATTTTAGTATACTTCCTATTATACTACTTCTTTATCTACTCTTTTAATCTTATAAGTAGTATATATAGCTTTACATAGTTCTTATTTAGCTCTACTACTCTATTAATTACAGCTAGTGCTCTAGCATATTCTTCTAGAATTTAGATATTAATCTATAGGCTAGCCTTAAAGCCTATAAGTATATTTTATAGTAATGTGCCTAGTATGCTATATATAGTATTATTATAGATAAACTACACTATTAGTAATTAACTAGCCCAGTCATCTTATATCTAGCTAATATATGCTTACAGGTAGTACTCTAGCACCTAGTTCATATATTTAGTTTACCTATTA